GCTGGCTAGCTGGCTAGCTTTCAATTTTCATTCTTGGAATGTGAAAGTTTTTATTAGTGTTTGTTTGTTTTGACTTGTCTTTTATGTGTAGGGGTGGGGGAGTGGGCGTGCGTTGTGTGTGAATGTGTATGTTAGTCATTTCAAGGTGAAATCTACTCACGTGAAATAGAAAAGTTGTATCTCTTTTGATTTATTCTTTCACATTCATTTTATTATGACAAGAAGTTAAGTTATATTTAGTTAGGTATGAGGGTGTTTACTCTCTCTCATTCACTGTCTTACTCTTTCGTCACTTTGTTACAATTCATTTCATTCACTTTGTGTGTTTGTGTGTGTATGTGTGTGGGGGTGGGTGTATTCAACGTGTTCCAACTTGTTTTTGTCTTCTGCTCCTCTCTTTTTTTGTTGTTTTCATTGTGTGTTCTATTTTCTCTGTCAGATATTTAAGTGAACTTTTGAAGAAGAAAATATAAATCCTTACAATAAAATCACTATGTTGACTATTCCATGTATATCTGTATCATATAATATTTCTCAATTGGTTAAATGTTCCCGTTGACTCATTGACTCACTCACCTACTCACTGACTTCTTCCTGTGTCATATACACATAGGTACAAGTATACTGCTTTGTTTATTATTATTATTATTGTGACGTCGCTATGCCAATGGACATTGTAGTATGTAAATAATAATAATATCTTCATTTCGTATTAATTAGATATGGGGTTGTGTTTTTTTTACTGCATGTTATCATCTATGTCATTCTTAATTGTGGTGAATTGAATTATGCGTCAGACTGTGAGTTTTGGAAGGGAAAAGATAGGAATACGTTGGACCACTGATAAAAAAGAGACTGTAGAAAATCTGGATTTTGCAGGTCATATTTGTTTAATGTTACACAAACTCGAAGACTTGCGGGCAGGCGAAAACCAACAAACTGGCAGAAGAGGCTGGTAGTGGAGATAGAACTTCAGGTGAACATAGAGGAGACGCAGGTGGTGAAGATAACCAATGATCACCATAAACGGGAAGAGATTTGACAGAGCTGAATTCCTTATCGTACCTAGGAAGCATCGTTTCAACCACAGGCAGTGGGAACGGATGAAGATGTCAAAGTTAGCCGGGATTGGAAAGGCAAGATACGCCTTAATCAACTTGAAAACCAGTTTGGAAATCTTCTGCACTGTACTCAGCCAGTATAGACAACAAGATTCGGATTCTGTTCAACACAAATGTGAAGTCAGTCAGTCAGTTCTTCAATACGGGTCAGAAACTTGCACTGTGTGTCACGAAAAGGATTTCCAACAGCCTGTTGCAGACTCTTATCAACAACTGCCTTCGCTGGCTGCATACTGAAGATCAAATGGTCAGTCGGTGAGAAAGAATTGACAACAAGAAACTCTGGCTGGGAATAAACCAAGCAAGAACCGATCACTCAACAAAGATGTAAGAGAAAGTGGAGATGGATCAGGCATACGTTGAAGAGGCCGTCGAATAACATCGCACACAATGCAGGTTATTGCTTGGAAAAGAGCTAGCGGCGGTCAAACCAAAACATGGCACCAGTCAATGAAATTTACAACAGTTAGTCTAAGCCACGTAGGAAGGTGTAGACTTCCTAACTGGTTGGGGTCCTCGGAACGGTAAAAACCAATGGTTGGAAACAATTGGTGACATGGTTCAAAATCGTTTTCAGTGGCGCAGATGCATCCACTCCTTGTGACTTATGATTTCCCATTAAACTGTTTTGTTCTTCGTTATTACTATTCCTTTGTCTCACACCTCTGTTTACTGTCTCTAATCTGCAATTGTCCTACTTTCTTCTCTTGCTTTGTGTGCTACAAGGAGGGAGTGTGGCGACTTGAACTGCTGCACACCGGTGCAAAGTTCTATGTCGAAAACCGACCGACCGAGGCTATTGCTTGAGTGGAATGGCAATTGGAAGCGACGAGTGGGTCGTCGGTGCAAGGGTGATATGGAAGAGATCGTGTTGCGAGGAGGAGATGAGAGATTATGGGCAATCGTGCGGCTAGTCAGCTGAAGAGTACAGCAGAAAATAGAGCAGAGTGGAGGTGTGTTGTTGTAGCCCTACTTTCCACTCGGAACCCAAGGGAATAATAATAATAATAGTAATAAATGTTATTACTTATTTCTATGACTTGTGATATAAACAACTTCTCAATATCTTTTTACTGACATTAATCTTTTATTCTTTTCTCAAATTATTGTAAAGTAAAAGGCATTAGTTAGTGAACAACGCAATCATGTAGGTTAATGAATGATTAGGATGATGATGACAACGACAACGAGAGTATTAGTCAAAATAGTAAACAATTATTTTGTGATTTCTTTAGTTAAATGCGTGATTTGAAAATTAGAAAGTACTTTTAACGTATAAACAACACTTACTATCATCACTACCTACTAACTTCCAATGTCACCCTTACTCTACAGCTATTAATTAATATTACTATTGCTATTATTCCCTTGGGTTTGGAGTAGAATGCTTTTTTTCATTTACCCCCATGATTGCTCGTAAACTGTCATCTTCTGATCATATGATTCTCCAAGACACTCTCAGATGCATGAATCGTTACTCTCTATTCGGGTCCTACTCAATGGCCCCAGCTCATGATTTCACTCAATGGTCTCTTCACAGTGTGTGTCCTATTATTTTCCTTTGGTATATTTGTTAAGCAATGTATTATTGATTGGTTCGTTGCTACAGTGATCCTTGTTGCTAATCCTTTCTAACTGGCCATTTGGTTTTTAGTATGCAGCGAAGTCAGTGGTAATTGTCGATAGGTGTCTTCATCTTGTTGGAAATGCTTTTCGTGAAATGCTCAGCAGTTCTCTCTGTCCTCCTTTATGTCTGTGAGTGAGACGTGGCCATTGAAAGTGGAAGATACGAAAAGACTAGCTGTCTTTGACCATAGGTGCCTGCGTGCTATGTCCCGTCTTAAGTGGCATTAATATAGGGTGAGCAATATTGAGGTGAGGCATCGAGTGCTAAGCAAGGAGGGGAGGCTAGTCGACGAAGTCGTGTAGTTACACCGATTGAAACAGTTAGAACATGTGTTACACATACCTAGTCTAACCATCGCCTTCCTCGACGGGCAATGGTAGCTGACATAGAATGGGTCGGGTTGGAAAAGAGGTAGTGGTGGTCAAACCAAAACATGGCCTCGACGGTCAATGAAATCCACAACAGTTAGCTAAAGCCACGTAGGGAGATGTAGGCTTCCTGGTTGGGGTCTTTGGGATGGCGAAAGCCAATGGTTGGGGACAATTGGTGATGTGGCTCAAAATCGTTCTCAATGGCTGGGGCAGATGCATTCACTCTTTGTGATTTATAATATCCAATAAAACTATATTGTTCTTCCGTATTACTATTATTTTTACCTCACACTTTTGTTTATTATCTCTCTTTTGAATCTCTCTGTACTCTGTTCTTTTGCTTTGTGTGCTACATGGAGTGTGGCAACTTGAACTGCTACACTTCTGTGCTAAGTTCTACGGTGAAACCAGTCAGTTAGTCAGTCAATGAATTCATGTGTTATATATTTCAGTAGAAAAGGTTAATTTTTGCAGAAATTCAGGATAAACTTTCACTAAAACGTATTTATTTCATCTACACAACTGAGTTAAATAGTATTTCGAAGAAGGCCAAAGCGTTCAATGTGGCGTGCCATAATTCAAATTTCTTAGACCAAACATATACAGTTAAGCCTTGTTACCTGAAATCAGTTAGCCAAGAGCTGCTCTCTTTTACTTAACACCGAATGAAGTGAACTGTGTCTCTGATGAGTGTTTTCTCTCTCGGTTACCTACCATCATCATATATAGCAGTAAGAAAATGTGATGTGACATTGTCATGACGGGAGTGTCCCTCATAAAGTGAAACGGCGAATTCAGACGTCTGGTGCACACAACCTGTCTGATGAACATTATCAGTCTACCTAGGGGAGCTGGAAAACCCTGATAACCCCATACCTCTACCTATGGCGTACACAGACTCCAGAATCCGAACAAATCGAATGGCGTATAAAACTGTTTGGGTCGCTTGAAATCATGAGAACGTAGCTCCCGACGCTGCTCCACTTCCTTGTGGATCAGACTTTAAGTCAGTAAAAGTCTCGGAGGGTGGCCCCTTGAGACAACCATCTGCTTCGGTGTGTGCTTCCAGGCAGTAACCCCAGCTCTTGCACAAACTATGAAATTTTGTGTAGCGCATCTTTTGGTGCCCATTATGTACTAAGTTTTTGTTCTTAATCATAATAATGATGGTGATTGATGGCTACCGACTAACCAGTATCTATGGGAGATATATTCTTATCCTTTAGCTTTCTGTGGCGTTGATGTCATAGTTTAGTAAATAAAATTACTCATATAACATGTTGAAAATCCTTTTTGTTTAAAACAATATCTTTCTTTTTAAAATTACTACATAATTTATTTTGTTAGATGGTTGGAGGTGGTCGGTAGGAAGCCATCATTGGCGTAGGTTTCGTGCTTGTTGGCACTCTCCAGGCAAAGCAACCTTAAAAGAACTTATGTCCTCTCTGGGATTCGAACCAGGGTTACATCCTAGTGATCAATCAGTATAATTTATTGTATATTATTTTTTTGCGAGTTGATCACGGATTGATATCAGTTAGAGAACCATTGAAAACCAGGAAGTACTGGACAACTGTTTCATCCTAGTTTGGGAATCATTGGCAGTACGCACCCACTGGGATTCGAACCCCAGGACCTTCCGGTTACAAGGCAAGCTCGTAGACCATTCAGCCCCTGGGACCCAACTCAATGACCCATGAATTCTAACTTCTACGAACTCGTGATTTAGCCCGACCACCAACCTGTAGCATAGGTCGGACACCCGTCCTCACACTTGGCAGGATGGACCTCACTGGTCACGACTTCTATGTATATAACCTTCCTAGTATTCAATTATTTATCATTTTCTTTTCTCTCTTTTTTTCTTTTTTTTGTTCTTAGGTTGTTGCATCCCTTCGACATTTGACAAGATTCACTATTTTATCTTATATTCGACGTGATCATATTGATCAATTACCATTGCCTAGAACTACAATCAATTATTTATTAGAAAAACAATGTTATATTGAATCATTAGAAGATTTTGAAGAGGCTGTACGTGATCGTCCCCCACTGGAGTTTCGTTCACGTTCAGCAATTGATTTCAACTCGCATATATCTATGCGTGATTCGTCGGGTAATTTATCTCGACATAGTAATACCAGTAATGGTAGTTCAGCTAGTGAAGATCGAAGTGGAGAAAGTCATATTACAGTGAGACAAAACAGTTGATAATTATAATAATAATAATATGGAGTATCTATCTGTTTATCTATTACTATTTTATCACTTGACTATTATTTCATCTTGAAAACAAAAGCTAAAGTTATACTTTAATAGTTTTTCTTAACTATATGAAATTAGATGTATAATATTATTACTATTATTACTACTAATAATCATTATTATTATTTGTACGATTATTGGAGCCAATATGAGAAGCTACTCTCAGTAGAACAGCACCACACTCTCTTGAGGCGGCACCACAGCTATGTATATTTTACGCGCGATACATACTCTGTACTGTGTGTTTGTGTGTGTGTGTGCTATGCTAAACATCGTGTTATTGCCTTTTCTTTTTATAAAATTCTTAGGATATAATTTTTATTCGTCATTGTAATATTACAGCTCATATCATTTTAGAAAATTGCATAGAAACCAAGGAAGACAAATTTTATGCATACATACACACACATTAACACATACTTTCTCTTCTTCTTCTTCTCCGCCTCCTCCTCCCCCTTCCCCCACCACTGGCTTCTCTGATATTACTTTCCACTATTTGATGTGAAATAGTTATATAATAATATTAATAATAATATTAATAATGGTGCATTTTACGCGCTCTTATTTTAAATATAAACAATAACAATTGTAATAGAGATATTTTTCTGTATTCTGCCCACCCCACCCCACGCCACACACACGCACCCCCCCTTCGCCCGTATTCAACCCCCCCTCCCCTTTGATATCCTATTCCCTACTATGTTTTTTAAAACAAAACTATATTACAATTTCACTGTAGAATAATATCCTTATTTATAATTGTGTTCATTTACTTACTTGATTGTATAATTTATTCATTATTTATTTTCTTTATTACCCTAGTCGGTGTTTGTAATCTCTGGATACCTGAGTTCCTTACACATGTAACATGCAGACACACACACACACACGGGCATGGACAAACATTCACAACTAGTTTTTGTGACTTTCTTCTCTCTTTTCCTTCCTTTAAACTACAAATTCAAAAAATGTGGACTAATAATTCCAGTACACATGCACACACTCACACACAGAGATTTCATCACCCCGGCACTGGTCCCTGTAAGAACGATCACATGATCATGATTATGATGATGGTGATTTATGCGGTGATAGAGCCTATTTCTTTTTCTCTTTTTTTACCGCTAACTATCTCTAATCATGATTGTGTTTAAAAGTACACTTAGAGAGGGAAGGTGAGGAAGCGATGGATTCTCGACGAAAAAGAGATTGAAACTTACCCCTCCCCCCACGCACCCACACACACACCACACCACCTTCCATTTAATTCCTTTTTCATATGTGCCCTTTATATACTAATGATTATGCATGATCGGTTGTTGTTTACTCATTGACTATTCTTTTTTCTAAAAGAATTCTTACTATGTTACAGTGATCTGCTTTGTTCCTTTATTTGTTTTGTTTTGTTGGATCAGCCAGTCGTCAGGCTGTGTGTCAGTTGATTATAATTCCCTGTGATGATGATGATGGTTAACTTTAAATGGGAAGACAGTCTCTGGCTTAATTAACGGTAGGGATAATCCTTTGTTGTCGTCATCGATAACTAGTGTAATCGGTAGATTTCCTGTGATTCTATTCGCCTTGTTTGCTATGATAACAATATTATTATTGTAATAATATTAAGTGCTCTTCTTTCTCTGTTTCACTTGTGTTTGTGTGTGTGTGTGTGAGAGTGTACTCTTTGTTTTTCTTTCCAATAATATTTTTGCCTTCTAAAAGCAGAGTTCTCTTCTGCTCTCATATTGTTGATATTTCTTCCTCTTAATGTCGTCGTCTATGTCCTCGTTTGCTTGTCTGTTTTTTATTATGGTTCGATGTGATCAGCTCTTACTGCCTTATATATATAATTATAATAATATTTCTTTGTTCTTTGTTTCTATCCTTCCTTTTTTTGAGGAAAAAAATATTAAGAAGTAGTTCTCCTCTGTTTTCTTATTCTTACTGATGATGAAGATATAGTGTGATATGTGAATGTTTTTCCTTGAAAAAAACAACTACAAAAACAACAACCTACTTTTAATGACTTTATTGCCTTGTCAAAATGGTGTTCACATTCTCGCTTAGATTCATTATTATTATTATTATTACTACTACTATTATCGTTGTTTTTTTTAGTTATCAGTTTGTTTTCTTCCCACAGCAAAAATGCCTTTTTATCTTTTACATCAATTGTATATTTCTAATTGTTTTTATGAAGAATCGAGTAGTCGTGGTGGTGGTGGTGGCGGTGGCGTTGGTTTGACAGCTAGTCGGCCAACTCCATATTTGTGTATATGCGTGTCCGAGGGTGGGTGTGCGAGGATGGGTTCCCTTTTTCCCTCCCTCTCTCTCTCCCTTCCCCTTGATCCAACTTCAAACTTGATATATTATCTTGTGAGTGAGTTATTACTGTTATTATTATTATTGATTTTTTTTAAAATACTGATCCCTATCCATTCTATTGTCGATGGATAGAGACCATCAAAGACAAGAAACAATCAACGCTTTGATGAAAATGGAATAATAATCCTTTTCAGACTCCGTATACATATTTTATCTTCTTTTTTAGACTTTAATTCTGCACTGTTGTGTGTGTATGTGTGCGTGTATTTAATCCTGCGATAGTAAACTGTAAAAAATTCCACCTTTAATATTGCCTAAACAAACTTCTTTTATATTGAGTACTATTGAGTACATACACGCTTGTTGTATTATGATATTTCCTGAATTCAGACATATTTATACATATATAATAATAATAATAATAATAATAATAATAATAATAATAAATAATATTAATAATCTACATATATCTGAGTGTAATATTGTAATTATTGTTTCTTTTCCTTGCAATCCTGTGTTAATGCTAATTCCTTTAACTGTCTTTTATATATAATAAAGCGCCATTCTCCTCTCTTTTTTTTCTATGACCGTTCTTCTAAGTAAATGAATAATTGTGTAATATATATAAGAAGAGTAAAACACACAACACCGACAACTATTACTCCCTCGCCTCCAGTTTTCCGTTATTCCTAACTACAGACACACGATTATTTCCTGATTCCTGTTTTTATTCTCATTCATCATGAATATCAACACGTGTGACGGTGAGAGTTTGAACTGAAATTTCCCAATAAATCCTTTATCCCAGCCATTTTTTTAAATAGTTGTTAATACACAGTGAGGTTTTACCGCTCTGACTGGTGTAGCGAAACTGCTTTTTTATCATTACTATTATTATTATTATTATTATTAATTCACCTTGTGCTCTTTTACATATGCTGTGCTATCTCGCTGATGTGCTCTAAAGTTGTGTATACTAATATGCAATGGTATTTCATTTTTGTACATAAATCTTCTTCTTCATTTCATCACTGGTGCCGCCCCCTCCCCGGCCTTCTTCTTAAACACACCCACTCTAACTATCCAGTATCACCTTTCTCTTTATTTACTCTTCGAGTAACTTTGTTTTTGACTTTTAATCTCTCTTTCTTTCTTTTGTTTTTTGTTTTTTTACTATTTTCGTTGCCTCTCCTCCATTTGTACATGATAATCTCAATATGAATTTTGATACATACATGCATAAATCATTGTTTCGTTTTTCTGTTGTTTTTTTTTGGTATTTCTTTGTGAATTTCGGGATTTGAGTAGGTTTCGTAAAGAGTTGAGAAATAGATTAAAGGATTAGTGTGAACAATTACTCAGCTGTATATATAAGACAAAAGTGCATACATACTGATAACTATTCATGTATTCCGTATTAAACAAAGGTATGCTTTATTTAACCACCCTTCAAGGGTGATCGATCGTATCATGCAGTTGATAGTTTGAAGGCTTAGTTGAACCGTCAAACGCACATTCAACGTCTCATCTCTTTTGCTTACGTCCTGAACATTCTCAATTCCTGTGCCTACTGTGAAAGAATAAAATTCTGTGAACTCAACTTCACGCTAAAAATATATAAATTTTTGATTATAGCTTGATTCCACACCGTATTATTGGTACAAGTATGGAATTTTCAGCATTTGATATCGGCAGCCCAAATGTAGCAGGCCGACCAACTGATATCAGGTTCGCGTCGGCTGGCGATCGAACCCTGGGCCATGTGCATGGTCGGCGAGAGTCCTAACCGCTGTGCCACCGACGCACAGTAGAACCAAAAGAATATTCGAATGTCGTTGAAAAGAACATGTTCCTAAAGGGTTTATAAGTCACATAGAAAACCTAAATGTACTTAATCAGAATAGAAATCCACAGTCATCCATTGCAAAGTATTTACTAGGGTCTAGCTGCAAAGTCGATATTATTGACTGTTTCGCAATTACTTCAAATAACTCTCCAATTCAAGGTGGTTATTAAAAGTGATAGAAGCTCTATGGAGTAATTACATGCATCCTATACTATGTGTACAGAAAACAGTAACCTTCGACCTTTGCTTACCATGGACTACTTGGCCTACTAAAGGGTTAGTATTCTGGGATTGAAAAACTTGTGTTTAAGATATCGTGAATCTTTAGGCATGCATGCATATTATGACACAGCAGCACATATTTAAGGTCTAACAAATATGATATTACTTTGATTGGACACTAGTAACTAGTGTGACGTGTCCAGTCCTTTCCTTGGTGGAGACTGAATTCTCTCAGTCAAGTTTGCAATGTGGCCACCATTCTATGTAGCTCGTCATTACGGTGCACATTGATTTGATGATATTGGATGGTTGGAGGCAATCGGAAGGAAGCCTTGGACCTAGGTTTCGTGCTTAGTCGGCACTCACAAGTCAGCAAGGCATATCTGCAACCTCGAAGGAACTCGTGTCTTTTCTGAGATTCGAATCCGTGTCACCCGGTGCAGTGCAGCAGTCAGAGATGTTCCCACTGAGCTATTTGGGCTCGTGATTGACCTCCTGTAGGACTGTAGCGGGTATTTTGCTTGGACACTAGTAACTAGTGTGACATGATATTACTTCTTTAGACTGACTGGTGGAAATGGGTTAGTAGCATTGATTAGTAACAGGAACTGACGGAATTTTAGAATATATATGTGTATGAAGTTGATTGATTGAGAAGATGTGTCTTGTTTACTCAAGCACTCAAATCTCAACTAATTGGATCCCGGGTTTTTATCTTACTCAACCTACATCAGATT